AAATAAATAAATAAATAAATAAATAGCTCATGTGATCAGAACTTTAAATTTTATTCCAGACTTCTAGACCTAGACTCACTCACCACATGAGTCACACCAATAATAATATACCAACTGAAAATGCAGAAACTTTAAGATCTTCAAATATCATAAAAATCTTAGATTTGCTACTGAACATTGTTTACAAGATAACAGTTGCACTTTTAGCACCAATGGCTATTTTCCTTTAGTGACCGAATCTATTTATTTTTTTCACAAGCACAAAAGTCCCACATTACGAAGTCAGAAGCCTATGTCTGTCCACTGTATAAGACAAGTGAACGGAAGGGAACTCTCTCCACGACGGGACATTCCACTAACTTTGTCATTGCAATGTTGCTGAAAACAGACCAACCCACCCAGCACTGGATCAAGCGCGGCGTTGCTCTCCTCTGTCAGCTAGATGACTGAACCAGACAAAGTAGAAAACAACTGAACGCTTTAAAAATTGTTTCTATTGACTTTTAAAAAGTATAAAGCCAGATAAATTGATACCATGCTTTTAAATGGTCTTGTGAAAGGTCTTTGCGGTCACTGTTCCCCCGCCACCCCCCATGTACCACTCGTGATGCGATTGGAGCCTTCTGACCAGACTTTCAAGATCATAGCCAGATACCACTGGAAGAAAGTATGAAAAGCACACACAAAAAAATCTGACGCTTTTATATTACTTTTAATTTGATATGTATGTAAGAAACAGATCATAGGGATTAAATGGATAAAATTTAACTGATACTAGAAAATTATTTTTCACCTCTCATTCCTTCACTTTCAGTAGGATTTTACTTTCTACTCACCTAGTTATGGTACATGAACATTTTACATAAAGAACATCTTACATAAATAAGCAAAATATTAAAGCACTAACCCCTTGGGCCAGCAAGATAGCTCAGCAGACTAAGTGCCTGCTTTGGCAAGTGCAGGGGCTAGGGTTCGATCCCCAGTCCTGCATGCTGCACCAGCCCCACCTCCAGGGCACATGAAGCTGGCAACCCAGCCCGAGCATGGTGGTGCACACCTATAATCCTAGTGCTGGGGAGGCTGAAAACAGGAGGATCATTAGGAGTCTGAGCTGCATAGTGAGAACCTGTACCAAACACATAAAATTTTTAAAAATAATTATATTTAAATATGGGGGTTAAAAAGTACTAACCCCCATGTTTCATAACTTTAAAATATCACTCCTATTTCCCATAGTACCCCTGTGATTAGGAAACTCAGAGTATCGAAGCAGACGTACAAAGACAAGGAGATGGCTGCTGGCCAGCCTCCTGCACCTGCAGGAGCATTGTGCTTCCTGGTGTTTGCTTCCTATCTAATTGGAAATGTCAAACTTCCCTTTTAGCTTCTTTTTATTATTATTTTCTTTTATTATTATTTTCTTTAGTAGTTGACATTTTTATCACTTACCGTGCACCCATTAACACTAGTTAACAACTTACAATTTTATCATATTATTAACAATTTAAAGATATTTCAGTGTAAAATTTTAATCAGAATTGTATTACTTAGGGACAGACAAATAGCTCAGTGGACTAAAGCCACCTGCAAGCAGGCTCAGGGGCCAGGGATTTAATTCCTGGGCCTGCCATGCCAGCCCCGCCCCTGGGGTGCCTGAGACTGGGTGTGGTGGCAAGCACCTGTAATCCCAGCTCTTGGGAGGCTGTAAACAGATGGATCACTAGGAGTCCAACCCTAAACACCCTGTAGACCCTTCCCTAAAATGCAGGGGAAAAAAAGAGTTGTATTACTTGTACAGAATTGATCGCTTCCTTAGACTTCCTCAATTCCAAGGATGCTTAAACCTGAAGTTCTGTAAACCAAAGAAAAGGTAGGTACAACTACCCACTGAATCTGGACCATTGGGACAGTCACTTTGGGTAGCTAAAGTCAGAGAAAAATGTTTCATCTCCTTAAACAGAAAATTAAATCTGGTGTACAGTGTCTGTGTGAATCAGTCTTAAGAACGCTCTTTGTATGAGAAACCTCCCACAGATACTTATTATTATAGGAAAAAAATGTTTAACATTTTAAATTTGAGAGCTTTAGCAGTGAAGGAAAAGACCATGTTTCCAAACAGAGCCAAATCACGTGTAAAAAACAAGGAGAATGTGCCAGACGGTCTTATGACCAAGTATTTATAGTAAAGCTATTTATAATAGTCACTGCTGGGGAGTGGATCCTAAATATAAATGAAAATTCAGAGCCTTCCATCTGCTAATCCTTGACAGTGAAAACTTCAGTGCTGCCCTACAGGCTACACGAGAAGGTAAAATAATCAAACCTATTCTAAACTAAAACTGCAATGTTCTCTTAAGCCATTTAGATATTGCTTAACAAAATACCTTGGATTTTTTTTTCTTCTGTTTCTATTATATGTTGTATTATGGGAATCCATTTGTTCCTATGTGTTTATTATTTTCCGCATAAATATTTTTCCTATCGTATGTGTAGGAAAGGTGTTATTTTGAGTGACTACCACAGTGAGAAAAACTCAGAAGCCAAGTCTAAAATGGATTAATATGAACAGTTTCAAAGTTACAGTGTCATTGCCCTAAGTCAATGAAAGATTATCTTCTTGGATAAGCTTTTAAGTAAGTAGTTTCTCACCTGTCATAGTGCAGAAAACTGTTTTTTAAGTTTTCTATGAAAACATTTTTAGATGAGCATTTTGTTTTCTAAATTTTATATTTTCTTCATTTATCCATTCCCTGCCAATGTTTTCGTTTTCTAAATTTCACTTCTAATTTTAGGCAGGTGATAATATTCCACAGCTAGAAAATGTTTGTAATTCATTCTGTCTCTAAAGTAAACCTGTAGCCGTTTGTATGGATAACTACACCAGCGATGAGAACACAGACGAGGACGTGGACACCCAGCTCATCATTCAGCAGAGTCTACAGGATGTCTACAAGCTGAGGACACACGTACCTGAGGAGACCAGGTAGGTAGCTTAC